TATGCATAATTATTTCCAAAGTCGGACCGTGGACGCGGTACATTCCCAAACGTTTCTCCGGCATCGTAGTCGGCATCGTCAGTGAGTCTGACCATTCGTAGAACCATATTACAACTCGTCAAATGGACAAGTGAGGATGTGAAGACCAAGATGTTGTGGCCCCGGGTATGGTCGCAGTCTCCTTTCGACTGCCTCAGAGTAAGTCTAATGGTCACGCCTTTGCCACATGAAGGGAGACTTTGATAGGACCCAGGGAAGGACTACGTAACAATATGACAGACTCTGAACAACATTCCCATAACAAGGGCGAAGGGGGTGATAACGACAGTGTGGAGTGTGAATGGTTTTCATGAATGCCGCTCGAAGGGGCACACATTAGGAATAAGCACGGTAAAAAACTGTGACAGGGAAGGCATGATAGAATGATATAGGAAATGTGAATAGGCCAGGGCAGAAGGTGAGATACCATAATTGTTTATCACACGTTTGGTCAGAGGATGGGCCTCACTTGTCCATTTGACGAGTTGTAATATGGTGCTATGAATGGCGAGACTCACTGACGATGCCGACTACGATGCCGGCGAAACGTTTGGGAATGTACCGCGTCCAGGGTCCGACTTTGGAAATAATTATGCATAAAATGGACTCAGGACAAGGTGCGTTCCTATAAGTCTTCTTACCAATATGACCAAGTTGCGAAAACAAGGTCAAACAACTTCTAGAATAGAATTATGTTAATAAGTGGATGGGCCATATGAAATAGGGTTGAGAGAAAGAGATGCGGCAATAGAAGGCAAAACAAAAGATAGGGGCGAGGAGTTATGCCACAACGGTTGAACGGAAAATTGGGCAATGGGATTGCCTTCACTTGTCACTTTGATAAGTTGTAACTCGGCGCTAACAATAGCACATGTCGCTGACGATACCGACTACGATGCCAGCGATACATCAGGGAATGTACCAAGTCATTGGTCCAATGCTGGAAATCGCGAATACTATGGTAGAGCACACGGGACTAGGTACGTTCCACAAGGTCTCGCTACGCTCCGACCAAGTTGCGAAAACAAAATGGAATCAAAGCTATATTTCATAAGTCATTTAAAATAATATAAAGTAAGGAAAGACGACTCACTTGGAACTGTGGATAAGACCATTTTGGGTCGCTGACATCTCTAGTGGCGGAAACAGATGAATCAGCAGAAGTATAAGTTGAAGGTGGATTTATAGTTTCTGAAGGATAAGTAAATGCGTGCGCACCAGAGGTGGCGCATTTGAGAATGGTTGCTTTGCTAGTATTGTCTCGCATAAGCAAGTGAGTCTGCGAATTGATTCGTCGTTGAAGCTTGACGACATATAAACGCCAAACCTGGCGCCAGGCAAGCTCGGTAAGACAAGTGATAGCACTGCCCTCCCAAAGGCGGAAGCGATGCAAGTCGTTAGAGCGGAGAACCGGTTCAACGCTAACGACTCCACCAAAAGAGTACAGTTGGTTGAGCTAATCAAAGCAAAAGCAAATTCAACATCTAATACTAATGAAGTAATAGAATAAACCTAAAATCTAACATAAGCTAGGTAGATAATGGTACAAAATGGATCCAATAAAATCTTACTTATTAATTCGATTCCCACTGTCATATTTTCCTGTCTTTCATTATCTTTCAAGATTACCCCAATATTTGGTAGCATCTTGGGAGTATTAAGTTAGTGACCTATCTCTTATATTTCTTACTACAATTATCAGTTTTGTTACTTCACACACGTAGATATTCCCCAACACCCACTAATTGAGAATGTGACTAAATCTTGGTTTCGCGTCGGATAATCAAATACTAGCCATTGCATTGGCACTACCTTTTGAGTCAACTAGATGGTATTCAAATTACACAAGGTTATCTTAAGCAGAAAACACTCTAGACTAAATAAAAGTTTTCCCTGCAACTCCCTTTTTCCTTGTGCCGTTTTATGTTCTAATTACAACACAGGCGCTAATACACACCAACATTTCACGCCTCCGTCGGCCTGGACTTACATTTTAAATCCCTACTCGTAACTTCTGTTCTATACAGGCTAATTCGCTACTCAGTTTTCCTTCTACATCCAGACTGGGTAGCCCTACAATTACAGCATGTATCCAAGAGTAAATTTTCTCCTATTTTTAAAATCCCTTAGTCACTAAAGTTATCATAATAATAAAGTAATGAAATCATTTATAAATTATGGATACTATTTTAATTTTCCCAACTTAACAGAATATTAGTTAGCATGGACATTATCCAAATTAAGAAGTTCATAGGTCAAAGTCATAGAATTGAAATATTCGCTTTGGTTGATTAGGAGTGAATCGAAATATCTTAAACATCACAGCTATCAAACTTCACAATAATCACAAGGAGAATCTATAGAAGTTGTCTGACCTCGTTTTCGCAACTTGGTCATATTGGCAGGAAGACCTAGAGGAACGTACCTAGTCCGGAGTCCATAGTATGCATGATAATTTCCAGTCGGACCGTTGACATGGTATATTCCCATACATTTCCTCGCATCGTAGTCGGCATCGTCAGTGAGCCTTGCCATTCTTAGCACCACACTACAACTCGTGAAGGAGACAAGAGAAGTCGATACTTTGACCAATTGTCTACTAGACAGTTGTGGTATCTCTCTTATCATGGGCTATTCACCTATCTTATATCCACGTATCACCCCTTAAATATTACAATTTCTCACTTGTTTATCTAAACCTATTCTCATTCCTCGCCGGTTTCCAGATCCCTCCTACTGTGTTAGAGGTGTTGATCCAAGACTTTGGTTTAATCCGCAATCCCCTGCATTCGGGTCCTATCAGAGTCCCCTCTTGCTTAGTAGGATACTTCTTTTATCTGCATGTTCTAATGATTTCACTCTATAGCTGCCAGCATATCCGTGCTACTCAAGGCGTTATGTTCTGCACTGCCTCAAGCCTTTGGTAGCACGTATCCACCAGCCTCACTGAGCAAGCCCTTAAAGTCTGGATTCGCAATTGGTATAAAGACCTAACTTAACGCCGCATATTACCTTACAACTGTGCTGCATTTGTGCCGTGTAATTATTGTGGTCAAGCCTTTAATTCATAGCACTATGAGCAAACTTATCTACTAATGGCTGACTAGAAATGGCTACCACCGTTCCCCGCTCTTCTATCTTTAATGCTAAGTCTATGACTTTTTCATGCGTGCTTGAATAGGCTCAATGTAGACGTCTTCTTTTGGTTTCCGATAGTTCCTCTCTGATCTCCTTGCAATTTGTTTTCCTAAAAGTAAAATATTACCTTTGCCCAGTCGTCTTCTTTTTGTTGATATTACTGTTTGGCCGTCCTCCCCATTCCTGATCTTATTTTCATAAAATCCTAGCTGAAATCTGCTACTTATGACCCCTATATTTATTTCTATAAATTCTCTGGGGTACGAAAGGAGACCTCGACCACACCATCCTGGTCCTTATACCTTAAGAGAATCTATCTTTACATATTCGAGCAGACGATTTTGCTTCACCAATAAGCCCACTACAAATAAGATTTTAAAGCGACCTAGCTTGCCTAAATCATGTCTTCCATGCGACATAATGGCAACTGTGGCTACGTAACAGTGGCACCGTTTCGTCACGATTCCCAAGACCGGGCTTTTAATCTAGCTGGAGTGTTTATTAGAATTAAGCTCAGGAGAAAATGCAGTTGACTCTAAAATAGCAAAGCTTTTAGGAAATAAGGCTAAATGAAATTCAATGGCATCATGAGGCCCTTTCATATCAGTCGGAAAAACTCCATTTTTAGTCCAAAATCACTTTAAACGACCTAAGGTGACTATTTAACAATTAAATAATAACTAATACTTTTCAAATGTACCCACAGAAAATAAATAAGACAAATAAGTAACAAGTAAGAAGTCAAATATGACAAGTAGTTT